CTCGCAGGCCCTAAGATCCTGCCACCTGGCAGATTTCAGAGCAGAATGTACAAACATTAATCTCACCATTAATCCCAGCATTAAAAATGCATGTTAAAAAAAAAGAAGAAAAAGCACACCAAAACTTCTCAGAAGGAAGTAGCAGCCGTTCTGTAGGAAATTTTCCAAATCGAAGAGGTCATTTCTTCAATATTTTCCCGGTCGGTCAATTCTTAACTGTTGGCCAGTTGCAGTGCAAATTTGAAAGTTCAGGCTGATCATAAAAGATCTAAACTGTCTCTTGATTAACCTTTTCAGTGTTTTAAAAGCCAAGAATGCACCTTAAATCAGACTTACAAGAGTCTCCTTAAAGAACCTGAAGCATTCTGCTTCAGAATGCCAAATGTAGAAGACGATATTTACTTACCAAAGTATACAAAATAACAAGAGTTGGAAGGGACCTTGGAGGTCTTCTAGTCCAGCCCCCTGCCCAAGCAGGAGACCCTATACCATTCCAGAAAAACAGCTGCCTAAATCTCTTCTTTAAACACCCCCCCACCCACCCACCCCCGATGGAGCAGCCACAACTTCTGGAGGCAAGTGGTTCCACTGATTGCTTTCAACCTAATGTTTTTTTGAAGCTCAAATCTTTCTGTGTCATTCTCTAATTTTATCTCTAGAAACAAAAACCCTGTTAGGAAAGTTGGGCTCAAAGGAGGAAAACTTAAGTTAGTGAAGTCCAACATTTAAATAATACATAGTTCTGAACCCAAGACCTTCAATGCTAGAAGCCAACATTTCCACTTTTCAAAAGTTCCTTCAAGACAAACTCACCTTCTGCCGACTTCATAGACCTGTTCACATTAGCTTTCTCGACAGGAACCACCACAAAAAAATGCCATTGTCCTCTCAGGAAAGGTATTTTTTCCCTAACTTTTCCCAACTTCCCAAAGTTTTCCTAGCACTCCGTGGAACTGCAACCCAAATCCAACCTGGCTTAGATTTGGGAGATCATCCATGCTCCGTAAAGGTTTCCACTTCTATTTCATTATTAAATGCAAGTAAACCTCTTTCATTTAACCCCGTTCCCCTGCATATGCAAAGTGCCAAATTTAAAAACAAAACAAAACACTGAAATGAAATGTTTTAAAAAGAAATTTCACCTCAAGCCATTTCTCTCAAAGCGCCACATGTTAAGGAGGTGGCGCTAAAATCCTGGGCCTGCTGCCAATCAAGCCTAACCGACACCATTGTCCTCTTCACACCTTTTCTTCTCACCCATCCCATCTTGGAAGCCCCCACCCAACTTAAAGAGAGTGCCCCCAACTCAAGCAGGCTCCACAGTCCTGGGCCTTGGCTTTGCTTCCCAAGCTGGACGCTACAAGCTGGCCACCCATCGCTCAGACCAAGATGGAAGACCAACACTGGGCCAGAAGAGAAGCTGAGGAACTCCTAGAGACCATCTAACTGCTGCGCCCAAGAAAGAAACGTGCCACCCTACCCATCTTGACGTTGGTGAAGCTGCTCCCAAGACCTTCTCCGGGGCATTCAGAAGAAAGGATTAAAAGCCCTACCTAGAAGCTTTCTTTGAAATGGAATATTTTGAGCCGGAGGCCTTAATAAAACCATAAGAGAGAAAGAGTACGAGAGAACGAACGGAAATGCCACCCCCCTCTTCTTTGGGGTGTGTTAAACAGGTAGAGTTCAACGTCAGTATCGGTGCGGGAAGGAGGAGGAGGCCGGAAGTCCAAACCCCTAAAATTTCTCCGAGTTCTCAAGTGTGTGTGTGTGTGTGTGTGTGTGTGTGTGTGTGCCTCAGCTGAATCAACTTGTCTGTTTAATCCTCAGTTAGCTTAAACTCACTCGCTTGCAACTCTGGGTTGTTACAGGAACGATCGGTGGACCTTTTTATCAGCCAAATTCTCTTGGAATACTGTCACAGTGTCAAAAAGGACACCGGTTCCTGCCTCTCCTAAGCCGGTCTTCCAGATGTTCTGCTACAAAACAAGCCTTTCCACATTTTTTTCAGTCAAAAGAAATCCCAGGAATTTGGAATTGGTCTTATCTGAACTAAAGATCCAACGGGACTTTCTTTATTCTCGGAATAAACCAGAACTTCCTCCATATTGACCTAATAAACCAAGCCCAGAAATGCAGCAGCCGCAGGAAAAGAAAAAAAAAACGCTGTCCCATCCCACAGGGCTCAGTGCCGTTTATCACCTGGGAAGCAAATACACACAAGAGATAAGACAAGCCCACCACCTCATCAGCTAAATATGCCACTTGTCAACAAAACGTTGGTCAGTCTCGAAACAACATCAGCCCAAAGGAGCAACAGAGCCAAACACCCACAAGCTTTCCTGGCTGAGGTGGGACTAGAACTCACCAACTCCTGGTAATTGGCTTAAAGACACCTAGCTAGCTTTCACGCCTAAGGCAGGACTAAAACTCACCTCCCCCTTTCTAGCCTGGTGCTTTAACCACTAGACTAGACCAAACTTTACACCTCCACTTCCAGGTTTAATTCAAGATGCTGGTAATGATCTGTAAAGTCCCACAAGGCACGGGTTGAGGTCATTTGAGGGACTGCCTCTTCCCAATCCATCAGCCCATTCCCATCGGAAGGAGCATGCGACAGGTGGCTTTCTAGAAGATCCCCAAAGGCTTTTGCCATTGTCCCTGGGGATCTGACAGGGGTATGGAGCCTCTGAAATTGTGCATGGATGTAATGCTCTCACAAATTATATTGTTTAATGGTTTTAATAGATTTTTGTTGTTGTTAGTATTTCGGTTATTAATTTGTATTTTTTTTTTTAACTATGGGAGCCATCCAGAATCAGGCATGTGAAATGGGCGAGCACCATGCACAGATTGAACAATAAAATGGATAAAATCCCACTAGCGGTTTTGTGCTATATAAAGAAATGGGTTTATTTTGCTTTTCCCTGAAAAATACTATTACTGGTTTCATCTGGGAAGCCTCAATCTGTAGAATTACAGTAGAAGAGGAGGAGGAGGAGGGGGAGGGGGAGGGGGAGGAGGAGGAGGAGGAGAAGAAGAAGAAGAAGAAGAAGAAGAAGAAGAAGAAGAAGAAGAAGAAGAAGAAGAAGAAGAAGAAGAAGAAGAAGAAGAAGAAGAAGAAGAAGAAGAAGAAGAAGAAGAAGAAGAAGAAGAAGAAGAAGAAGAAGAAGAAGAAGAAGAAGAAGAAGAAGAAGAAGAAGAAGAAGAAGAAG